TTCATCTCGTGCATTCTTCAAGTGAACGGCGTTAAAAGACGTCGGCATAATTGTATATCGTATATTTTTATTTTTCTTAAGTTTTCTTATTATTAGAAGACGTGTCACCCACGCATCGATATGCTGTTTTACAAAAAAAGACATATATTAGTGACTTACATAAATTTAAAAAAAAATTAATCAAATTGAAATATAAGAAAAATATAAGACTTACCCCCCCATCGAAATAGCCATTATCTTCGACCCCTAATAATACGCCCCACCAAGACCGATCAAGCAACAAATAGATATCATCGGTGAGCTTGCATATGTCAGTGAAACACCCCTGGCTCCGCTCATGTAGATAAAAATCAACTGCGGTCTTAGCCCAAAGGGTGTTATCCAGAATTGTGTCCGGTAGTTGTTTCCTCTCCTCTTCAGATACCGGTATGGTACTGGCCGGTAACTCATACGAGAGCCAACTTGAATCCATCATGTCCGGCACGTCAGGGGGTTTCTCAAGAAGCCTACATATGACGCCATGTGAATCGGGCTCTTGAATGGTAGGAGGGACCTCTTCAATGATGACAGTGGCCTCTTGAACGGTGGGAGGGGACTCTCGAGGAATGATAGGGGGGCCTCTTCAACGATAGGAGTGGACTCTTGAGGGATGACAGGCAAGTCGGGCTTCTTCTTGCGGTGTCTTCGCACTATTGGGGTGTACGGAGACTTAATAGCACGTGCACGCTGTCTGATGCGTGAACTCCGTCGTGCAAGCATAACCCGACGTAAAGCATCCACTCTATCGGGCCGCTAAATAATTAAATACAAAAATCAATAAATAAACATACATGATATTTAAACAGTGAAAACAAAGACAAATATGTTTCAAACTTGCATTGTATTCACCCAAGTCATTATTCTATCATAGTTCACAAAATGCATCAGATAACAAAGAAAAATATGTTTCAAACTAATACCCTGAAGTTAGTATTTGTCTTTGTTTTGTCTATTGGTTGAAGTAATGCAATCCATTCAAGTTTCAATTTGCAGAAGAAGAAATAGTTTACTTTCGCAACACGAAACTTAAAATCGCAACGCGAAATGAGAATCGCAACGAGAAACCAAAATCGCAACGCGAAACCAAAATCGCAACGCGAAATGAAAATCGCAACGACAGAATCGCAATGCGAAATGAAAATCGCAACGAGAGAATCGCAACGCGAAGTGAAAATCGCAATGCGATTTTGGTTTCGCGTTGCGATTTTTTCGTTGCGATTTTGGTTTCGCGTTGCGATTCTGTCGTTGCGATTTTCATTTCGCGTTGCGATTCTCTCGTTGCGATTTTAAGTTTCGTGTTGCGAAAGTAAACTATTTCTTCTTCTGCAAATTGAAACTTGAATGGATTGCATTACTTCAACCAATAGACAAAACAAAGACAAATACTGACTTCAGGGTATTAGTTTAGCAGAATTGGCAGCAACCGAACAAATTTACTTTCAACCAAAAGACAAAACAAAGACAAATACTATTTCACAGTGTTAAAGAATACACAGTTTAGCAGAATTGGCAGCAACCGAACAAATTTACTTTCAACCAAAAGACAAAACAAAGACAAATACTATTTCACAGTGTTAAAGAATACACAGTTTAGCAGAATTGGCAGCAACCGAACAAATTTACTTTCAACCAAAAGACAAAACAAAGACAAATACTATTTCACAGTGTTAAAGAATACACAGTTTAGCAGAATTGGCAGCAACCGAATAAATTTACTAAGCAATCTAAGTGAAATTACGAGTAAATTTATCATTAAGTTAAATATGGAAAATCTTAAACTTACCTCGTTGCGTAGAGTATGAACCTCATTCTGCAACGATACTATCATCTCACGTAGAGCGGCAAGCTCACCACGTAAAGTTGATACCTCCACACGCCATGCACCATCGTTATCGCGTAGAGTACCGATCTCCTCACGCAAGGCATTGACCTCATCACGTAACTCATCCCGTGGAGGTGGAGAACAAGGAGATAAATGTCGTGGCCTCTTTACCGGTCGCCTATCATGAGGTGATGGTAGAGAAGAGGCTCGATGATGTGACGGGATAGGTGATGGCTCTCGTTCTAGAGGTGTATAGTCGGGTCGATCGGGTGATGGCTCTGGGTGAGGTGATGGCTCTCGAATTGGAGGAAGTGGATGCTGCTCATCATCCGTGCCATCAAAAAAACTCTGACTAGCTTGCCACCAATCAGTGGCAAGCTCTTCCTCCGTTCAGTCTTTGTAATGGAATGTTAGCCTCCTAACAATATAAAAACTCAAACAAAGTTAAACGTCTACTATTAATAACTTGTTTATATATTATATGAAAGTATTTGTGTTAACTTACATTATTTATTGTCGCATATGGTATTAAGTCTTCCCAATCCAACAGATTTTTCCTCTTCCAGGAAATAGCCCTGGGAATATCATTTGACGTTTTTATTGCATATGTACGCATGCTGGGGAAAGCCTCGAATATCCAAATCTACAAACAATATAATAACAAAATTAGTAATTGTTAAATAATTAATTATAATTTTAGAAACATTATATAGAAATTCTTACCTTAAAGGCCCAAACAAAGCTTGACAAAGTGTATTTTGACCCATCGCCACGCAAACTTTTGCGGTCATCAAAGGCAGTAGACAACTTAGTCCAGGTAGCTTTCCATATATACGAACCCCACGGAAACAGATTCCATGCATTCAGGTCCTCTACCAATATTATTAGCTCCCGAGGAATAGGTTGTCTGGCCTCTCTGCCTAAAAAGCCGGCATACACAAGTAGTAGAAGGCATACTCGGACAACATCGACGTCATCCATCCGAGTGAAACCAGCTTTCTTATTAAACAATTTCTTCAGGTCGTCGACGTGTAGGTTCGGCTTCTCCATTGACTCATCCGGAAAAACCCGGGATAACCATGATGGGCGGGCGATATGACGAGTGTACCGGCCTACATCATCGTGTCCGAATCGTAGACCAGTGATTAAGCAGAACTCCTTCCGCCCAAAACAAGTATACGCTGGTGGAAAATGAAACCATATCTCTTCCTCACCACGTTGTATACTATCGGGTAGATTTGATGTCATGGTCTGAAGCCACAAATGGGTCAAATTAGCATCTCCACCCGGATGCTGTACTCTCAGCCATGGCCCGAAGCAGGTTTCCTCAAACAATTGTCTTTGTGCAGGTGAAAGCTTCAAAGCAATTGTAGTGGTTAGGCTAACTTTATTCCTTAATGTCAATGAAGCCGAAAAAATTTTCTACAAAAACAATAAACATACCAAGTTAGATATACCAAAAACTACACTGTGAAGATATACCAAAAACAATAAACATAAAAAGTAGTAGTTTATTCTTGAAACTAAAATTTGCAACACTGTTTTGTCTTTTGGTTGAAATGAAAATCGCAACGAGAGAATGACTGTCGCAACGAGAGAAATGAAAATCGCAACGAGAGAATAGCAACGCGAAATGAAAATCGCAACGAGAGAATCGTAACGCGAAATGAAATCTAAGTGAAATGGTTAATCTATTATTGAAATGACCAGTAAACTTATCATCAGTTTCAATATGAAAAACCTACAATAATGCAAAAATTTCAAAATAAAAATAATTAAAAAAACTAACCCTCGGAGGTTGATTTTCCATTTCTGAATATTGTGAGGGATTTCTGACCGTGAATGGTTGTGAGGGATTTCGCCGGAGATGGGGACGGAAATCTTCGGAGATGGGGACGGATTTCGCCGTAGAGAGTGAGAGATGGAGATGGGACTGAGTTGTGATTTTAGGTTTTAGGTTATGAGTTGCGATTACGGGATTTTGTCTTAATATTCGTTTTTTGTAATTTGAAAATAAAATACGCGTAGCGATTATAATGGCGCTTTAAAAATCGCGTTGCGATTTACGGATACGCGTTGCGATTTACGGATACGCGTTGCGATATACGGATACGCATTGCGATTTACGGATACGCGTTGCGATTTATGGATACACGTTGCGATTTACGGATACGCGTTGCGATTTATGTGTTCGCGTTGCGATTTTCATATTCGCGTTGCGATTCTGGAAAATCGCAATGCGAATTTGTACTATCGCATTGCGATTTTCAAGAATCGCGTTGCGATTTTGGAAACTGATTTGCGATTCTGGGGATCGCGTTGCGATTTTTATTTCGCGTTGCGATTTTGTTGGTCATTTTGGCAAATCCAAAAAAAGTTGGTTAAAATCGTATATTATAAGGCATTTTTGGTCACTGAGACGATTTTCTCTTTATTTTATGTATAGTCTGTTAGGTGTAGAATACAAATAGAAATAACTTATTCTGAATTTGGTGGAGGTAATCTTAATCATCTTTCTATGTGCTATTACTTTTTTTTTATTAATTTAAGGACAGTTACAAGTTAATATATGTTATAAAGATTTTAAATTATTTGATAATAAAAACGTAAATACTATTTTAGTTTATGATGTTCAAACCTAAGACATTTATGGATAACAATATTCTTTTAACTACTCAGATAACTTCGTCTGTGCATATGCTATTAAGATGAAGGTTTGTTTGTATTATTTTATTAATAATAATTAAATGATCGAAGATAAGGAAGTTATACTACATAATTTAACATTTTTTTCTCTTAAGGTAAGTTTATTTCATTGGCCAAAAATAATAAATTTTTATTTTTTTTTGTTATATTTATGGTTCTAAGGTTTCGCCCTGATTAATCAGGACTGATCCGCATCGTACATTTGATTCTGGTGGGTGAGTTCCCTAGTATAGAGTTTTTACATATACAAAGATTCAAACTCAAATCTTTACTTAAGTGATATCAAGTTATTTACTACTTTAAACTAACAGTAATAGTTTTATATTTTTTTCCGCAAAATGATAAAACAACTTCAATACACAAAATTGTTTAATTTATGTCTTGTTTATTTATTTCTATTTACTATCGTGTGATGAATCAAGTCCAGAAAGTTACAGAAAGAAGATAGTGAGAAAATATGGCTCAGGCGATCGGAAAAGTGTGTGTCACCGGAGCCGGCGGCTACCTTGGGTCTTGGGTTATGAAGCACCTTCTCTCTAACAACTACGTCGTCCACGGCACCGTCAAGCAACCTGGTTGGTTTTTATTGCTTCTGACTCAACTGCCGCACCTTCTATTTGCATTTCTTTGTCATTTTGATTTGTTGGAATTTTGCCAGGGGATGCCAAATATGCACACTTGAATCAGCTTGAGAAAGCATCCGACAACCTCAAACTCTTCAAGGCGGATTTATTGGATTATGATTCTCTTTGTTCCGCCATTGCCAGCTACGCCGGTGTCTTCCACGTTGCCTCTCCCGTCCCCTCCTCCGCGTTACTAATCCCCAGGCAATACTAAACCCCACCCTCAATTTCTTCGTTCATTAACTACGTTTCCTTAATTTTTTTTAAGCATATTGAGAGCCTTGTACATGCATGCGTTCCACCAATTAAAAAGAAAAAGGATAACCCTATATATCTATATGGTATTCCTACTTCCATTACATCAGCTAAGGTTGTAAACCGAGGCGATCTTGAGCAGGGTTTTAAAAAACGGTATGCGACCGCGATTTCGGCCGTGATATAGTGATTTCGCCGTCGTCCGAGTTACCCGCGACGGCCGCAATAGCGCCCGCGACGGCCACAATCACGGTAAATTCGAAATAATCGAAAACACGACCGCGACCGCGATTTGAAACCCTGATCTTGAGTATTGTTGAATTCGATTTAACTTGACTCGAAAACACGTGAGCTTAAATTGTTAAGATTGAATCGAACTTGAAATTAAAATTTGAAGCTTGACTCGAACTCAAAAGCTCGTGAGATTAAAATTTTCAAGCTCAAGTTGAAATAAAAAATTGAAGTTCGACTCGAGCTTGAAAAACTTGAACTTGAAACATTCTCAGACTTAACTCGATTGAAGCTAGAAATCGAGCTCGGTTCAAGCTCAAACTCCAGTTCAAACATGATCCTTAAGCACATGAAAGCTTTATATTTAGGGTTGTTCATGGATAGTTAGTCATACTATTTATCCTAAACGATCGATTAACCGCTAACAGTTAACTATTATTAACGGTTCGGTTACAAGTTAATCGTAGGTTGACTTATTACAATTATTTTTCAAAAATAAAAACAACATGAACATTTTAAAGTTTCATAATTCATACTACAATAATTATAGTACTTAACACATACTTATACCACTGTAAGTGAATAATATAAAGTGTAGCACTTGTGTCATGTAGATAGACCTCTATTAAAATTTACTTCAAGCGTTCTAGATGATATTTCATAATGATTGACTTAAAATCATGATACGATGATAAGTTGAATTGATGTTCCCATGCACGATATAAATACACGTGCTATTGCTGTTTATATGCATGATCACTGATAGGTGATTTATTTAGTTACTATTTTATCTTTCATTACTCCTTGTTTATTAGTTTGATTTGGGTGTTTTAATTCATTTTCTGTGCAGAACGTCGGATTCTAGAAATTGCACTAAAAGGAAGAAGTTCTACCCTTTTTTTAGTCAAGGTTGGATTAGTAGTCATGATTATGGGTATAACGCGTCTGACGTGACATCCAATCAATAGCTTCCAGAAGGTCCAATCAACACTTCTCGAAGGACGAACGACTCAATCACTTTTTATAATTCGAATTAAGAATTATCTTTTGTTTTTAGGATTTAATTTAAATATTTTCCGAGAATTATCTTTTATCATTTCTATGTCATTTTAGGGTTTTAGAAAGCTATAAATACCCTCTCAAGATAAGCTTGAAAGATATTTAGAATTAGCTTTGTTCTTTATTCTATTATTTTATAAAGTTTTCTTTTCTTTTTCATTTTACTTTTCAAGTTTTTTCTATTTTACTTTTAAAAAATGCTAAGTATGATCTCTATCATACTTAGCTAATTTTCCAATAAGCCAAATGTTGAAACGATGACTCAATTTTGATCGTCATAATAGAAAAGTACCTAATACCTTCAAGTTATATCCTCAATTTTCTACAAAATGGGATTGACAATCGGCCTCTCATTTAAAAATCAAAATGCTTTCATTTAAAAAGAGCTCGTTGGCTTGATATTTTTTTCGATTTAAAGTTGAGAGGAAGAATCAGTTGGTAGCAAGTTTGATTTCCTGAGAACACACTTATAGGCGGCCCGCTAAGGGAAATTGAGATCGGATTCAATTTTCATTGAGACAACATAGTCTAAGTCGGGTTTTTTCTAAATCTTAAAATCGAGTTGGCATTGACGACGATAATTGTAGTTTGCCCAAATAAGGACTGAAATTCAAAGATTTATTTTTGGATTGTCGGTTTAATAGAGAGAAAAACAAGTTACAGGGGTCAGGCCCTGTAGACTGTAACCGACATTAATCCGAAGTAAAGATCTTATTCAATGATTAATTAGAATTGAGGCAAAGCGAAGCCTGAGGTTGTTTTTACCATATTTAAATTTTCATCTCAATCTACTTTCTTTATTTTTCTTAAATAAGATTCTTTATTTACTTTAAAATCTTTCAAACAAATCCCCCATTTTTACTTACAATTTTTCCCAGACCATAATCAAAAGCCTTCTATATTAGTATCTTCAAAGTCCCTGTGGATCGACCCTTCTTCTCTATACTACCATTTTATTTCTTTCATTTGAGATTAAGTATAATTATTTGACAGTAAAACAACGCTTGTCAAACTTACACATGTTGATTATAAATTGTTAAAAATGAGACTATTATGATGGGAGTCGCTTTAATGAATGAAACTAACCCTAGACAGGATGATTACTGTGTCTATTGCATAATGAATGTAGGATTATCGAGATTATGACATGAATAATGAATAAGGTACTCTGGTCAATTAAGATATGATATATTTTAATTCTTAGGTAAGACTAATGAACTATATTGATAATCATAAGACTATGAGAATAATTGAATAACGATCATAAGTTTATAACCGGCTAGCGTGCTTAATTTTATGAGAGTCATTATATAAGTTGATGTGTACTTATTGGGCAGCTCACCCTTTAATTATTACATCTAAATATTTCATGGATCTCAACGGGGCAACGATATCATTGAAGAAGTCTTAGTTGTAGTATTAGAATACAATGGTAAGGACTTAAGTGGGCATATAAAGGTTAAGATTTTATTCGGTTCTGTTGTAAACTACTTATGTACTTGATTTTCAAATAAAGGATCTCCGCCTTTTGTAAATGTTTATTTTTTTTATCTTGTATTGTTGTCTTTTAAAGTTCAAGTCGAATTTTTGAGTGGTAATTTGTTGGCTCACTTTGATGATCTAACGTGACGTCTTCAATTCAATTTTGATGTTACACTTTCACTTCAAAACATAAACACAAAACAATAATATTTTATATATTTAATATTAATATATGAAGTTTCATATTTTATTATATATTAAGTTATCATCATTAGGGATGGCAACTCAATCCGAATCCGACGGGTTTCGACACGATCCGACCCGATCGGGTCGGATTTTTTTAAAAAAAATTCGGGTTCGGGTCGGGTCGGGTTTTTTTAAAATGCACTGTTCGGGTCGGGTCGGGTCGGGTTTAGGGTAAAAAAAATCCGACCCGACCCGACCTGAAAAATATATATAATTTTATCTTATATATTTAGGGATAATTACAATAATATCCCTCCATATATACTTTTTTTCAATTAAGTCACTGTTTTCATTGAATTTTTTTTTTATTATTTCGGGTCGGGTCGGGTCGGGTTTCTAAGTCATATATTCGGGTCGGGTCGGTCGGGTGAAACATTAATTTTGTCGGATCGGGTCGGGTCACGGGTGGAGAACCCTTTCTTCTCGGGTCGGGTGGCCCAAAAACCCGACCCGACCCGACCCATTGCCATCCCTAAATTCATCATTCGAAAGAATAGAGCTAAACTCAATTTTCATAGCCTTGTAGAAATGATCAAATACTCGCAAGTCTATAAAAATATCCAAAAAATAATAAGAGTACAAAATGATAAGATAGTAAAAAAGAGACGACACCCAATAGATTTTATTGATATTAACTTGTAATATTCTCAAAGAGAACCAGGTGAATTTATACAAGAGGAGAGTAACTGTTAATGACTGATAACGGAAAGCAATCACTAACAGCATGCCAACTCACTGGTGCAGTACAAAAAATCCCTAACAGTACGCTACCATACTAGCTGCACTCAGTGAACCCTTACATTCACCCTAGTTTCTTCTTCTCTTAACAAAAACAATCAACCTCAAAGAAAACAACCTGCAGAAAACAAAGACAAGCAGAAACAACAAAAACACAAACACACAAAATGAACAACCATATGCATCAAACGCCGCTAAACAATATCTGCTATAGCAATAGGTAGCACATTGAGTTTATCCTGAAATCAAGCAAAAGTCACTCCAGACAACGGCTGAGTCATGATATCTGCAACTTGTTCACTGGCAGGAACTTCATTAACCAATAGTTGCTTCAACAACACGTTCCCGAATGAAAACAAATTCATCTCTACATGTTTAAACTTCGAATGCATAACCGGATTGGAAGAAATATCAATTACACTCAAATTATCACACAATAGCACAACAGTTCCACCAGGTTGAACATGCAACTCTTGAAGTAAAGACTCAAGCCAGATGACTTCAGTGGTGACACAAGCAACACTTCTGTATTCTGCCTTAGCAGTAGACCGACAGACCACTGGTTGCTTTTTCGACATCCAGGACACAGGGTTACCTCCAAAATAAATGCAGTAGCCATTGGTAGAACGACGATCATCAATGTCTGAACCCCAGTCAGCATTATCAAACTATGTAATAGACAACCGAGAAGACTTAGTAAAACGTAGCCCAAAGTCAAGAGTGCCCTGAAGATACCTTTAGATTCTATTAGCAACATGAAAATGCTCATCAAGAGGAGCCTGCATGAATTGACAAACACGATTTACAGCAAACGATATATCGGGCCAAGTAATAGTAACATACTGTAGAGCTCCTACAATTCTTCTATACTCTGAGGGATTCAAGAGAGGAGACCCCTTATGAGTAGACAATTTACAGCCCGAAACCATAGGTGTAGGCAACCCTTGGGCACCATCAAAACCATACTTACACAACAACTCTTTTACATACTTATGCTGATTAAGAAAAACTCGCTGAGAAGAATAGGTAACCTGAATACCCAAAAAATAACTCACCTGGCCAAGATCTTTCAACGAAAAAACTTTGTCATGATCATACATAATTGTTTCAATCTCAGCAAAATTATTCCCAGTAACAATAATATCATCCACATACTAAGAGATACACCAACTTGTTATCAACACATTTCATAAACAAAGAGGCATTTGACTTTGATAAAGCAAAGCTTACAGTAATTAAATAATTTCTCAACTTCTCAAACCAAGCCCGAGGAGCCTGCTTGAGCCTACAGATGGCCTTGTTCAAGCGACAGGCCATAACGTTTGTCACCCACCTCATAACCAGGTGACTGAGACATGTAGAGTTCCTCGGTGAGATCTCCATTCAGAAAAGAATTACTAACATCTATCTGTCGATGGCAATGGACAGAATAGTCCGAACAGTAGCTGGCTTGACAACAGAGCTAAAGGTTTCATCATAATCACGACCAGCCTGTTGTAAATTCCCCTTAGCAACAAGATGAGCTTTGTAGCGAGCAATAATACCATCAACATTTTCCTTAAGTTTAAAAATCCACTTACAACCAACTTTTCAAAAATGAGAAGGCAGCTCAGTCGATGTCAAGGTGTTATTCTTCAAAAGCGAATCATATTCAACTTGTGCACCTGCTTCCCAATGAGGATTAAGAAAATCTTCCTCAATGGTGGTAGGGTTCAACTTCAGACTGTAACCGTTTTTGCTGCAAGAAACACTCTAGGTTTTTGAATTCCATTCTTGCTCCTAGTCACCATGTGATGTCTATTAGACACGTCACCTTGCTCATTACCAGATGGATGCGAAGAAGTTCCAACTGCAGCATCACTCCGAACAACATCAACACCAGTAGCTGCAGAACTATCAGGTACTAACGACTGAGGCCCTAGAGAACGTTCATCAACTTCACCAGATAAACCATCAGGGAAATTCGGAGTACCAGGAAAACCAGAAACACATTGTCGCAAAAAATGCACAGATAAATCATTAGAAGGATCATACAGATCAGCAGGAAAGCTATCCACATGAACATTAGGATAAAACTCAACACCAGTATCACTTGAAGCATCAGGTATAGAAACCAAGCCCAGACGAACAATAACAAACACATCATCCCCTGCATCCTTAAAAGTCTGAAAATTGCTTGTACTAGGAAAAACTGACTCATCAAATAAACATGTCTGGAAATAAAAATGTGACCATTATCATCAAAACATTTATACCCTTTCTGAGACACTATAACTTAGAAAAACATACTCCTTTGATCGAAGCCCAAACTTGTGACAACTGAAAGGACGAAGATAGGGATAGCAGGCACAACCAAAAGTTTTGATAAATGAATAATCTGGCTTTACACCATACAACACCTCATGAGGAGACTTCTTACTTAGAACCTCAAAAGGTTAATGAGAAACACATCAATAGTGAACGCATGACTCCAAAACTTAATGGACAAGGATGACTGAGCAAGGAAATGAGTCCCATTTCAACGATGTAACGATGCTTACGCTCTGCCTTACATTCTGCTCTGAGGTAAAAGGACACGATATCCGATGTTGTACTCCAGGTGTCGCAAACCATTGAAAAAGAGCCTGAAACTCCCCACCTCCATCGGACTGTAAAGCTTTAATCTGAACACCAAATTGAACTTCAACCAATTTATAAAATTGACAAAACATTGAGCAAAATATGATTTTCTTTTTAGCAAATAAAGCCAAGTATGTCGACTATAGACATCTATAAAGGAAACATAATAGCAAAAACCATCCGAGGCAACAAGGGCTGGCCCCCATACATCAAACACCACCAAATGAAAAGGGGAAGTATAAATTGTCTCAGACAAAGAAAAGGACAATTTATGAGCCTTACCTTGTAAACAAAAAGGACAAACAACAGACATCTTATTATTATTAACAGGAATATTACAAGAATTAAGACAGTCTTAAGAACACTCAAAGAAGGGTGCCCAAGACGACGATGCCACAACTCAAGAGACCCCTGAGTCCGATACGAATTGAGCTCAGTAGAGCCCCCAACGCCGGAACCTTCCTCGCTGGACATCAAATTCATACGAACCATCAGTAGTGCGCCTCCGTCGCAGCAACACCTCCTGCGTCTGAGAGTCCTTCACGAAACACTCATGAGGATGAAACTCAAAAAATACAGAATTGTCATGGGTCAATTGAGAAACATATAACAAATTCTTTTTAATAGAAGGAACAAACAACATATTTTCTAACCGTAGAACACTAGCACCAGTAGAAAGCATACCACAGCCAATATGAGTAATCCGAACTTCTTCTCCATTACCCATAAGGAGAGAATTATTACCTGTATACGGAGACTGAGACTGAAGAATGACACGATCATTCGTGATATGATGCGTGGCACCTGAGTCGGGATACCAACAGACCTCTCTCCCCATAGCAGCAGAGAAAACACTCAGATAGCTCGAAAAAAAGAGAAGAAACAAACGAAGACTGAGGAGTGGGAACGATAGAAATAGAACCAGAAGATGAGACTGAAGGAAAACCATTATGCATATAATACCCAGCTTGAGAAACTAGAGCATTAAACCATGGCAATCCAATGCCCAAGACAGCATTATGGGAGAACGAATCCGTAGGAACCCTAGGCAGTGCCTCATTAAACAAATTCTGATCACACATCATCGTTGGTCTCGTAACTAAAAAATAAGTAGAAACTGAAGCGATATAGTGCCTTGTAGAATAACCAGCAAATTCAGCCCATATGTCCCCATCTGCCCAGATCTATTCAAGCTAGTTAGATAAAAAGCTTGGGTCAACTCTGCCCATGAGTAGCAAACCAAAAACCATGGAGAGATGGGCTTGTTGACTGTGACCAACACCTGAACCATTCCCATAGTCATGGCAGCCATTGAAGAAATATCGTCAAAGGTATAGTCAAACCTATAATAACAAACACTCGTTTTCGTCCTGATTTTTGTTATTATTGTTATTTATCTATTTTATTTTTATTTTTATTTATTATATTATATTATATTATTATTTTATGGGCTTGTTAACAGTGACTAACACCTGAACCATTCCGGAGTCATGAGCAACCATTGAAGAACTATCGTAAAAGGTATAGTCAAACCTATAATAATAGTAGACACTCGTTTTCGTCCGGATCTTTTATTATTATTATTTATTTTATATTTATTTATTATTTATTATATTATATTATATTATATTTTTATTTTTATTCTTATTACGTGCCCTTACAAGCACAAATTGAGCCCAATTACAAGGGGCTAAGCGACCCAAACCCTAACCTAGTAGAGCCTAAAATTTAGGGTTTGTTTTGAAACCCTAGAAAACCACATGTCACCGATAAAGAAGAAAATAGCTACCGCCAGAGCCACGTTGCACTGATGCCACCGTTGGTATCATTGTTGTTGATCAGTCGTCCTCAACAAACCATCTATTCTAAAATTAGCCAGAAACCAAAACAAATCAAATCAAAACATAAAAAATTTTCAACCAAACCACATCAAATCACAATCTAAACTCAAAAAAATATTAGGGCATTAAAAACCCTGATTTTTCTTTACCAACTGAAGATCATTGCCTCTGATAGCCTCATCAAATTGTTACCAATTGGGGACTGATAAAAAGGAGGGGAATCGGTCTAAAAAGGGAGGATTTTAACAACCACCATTCGATAAAAAAAGAAAAGTGAAAACATATTCGAACAAAAATCTTACTTTTTGCATTTGGAGGCCCGAATTTTCTTCAAAGGAAGAGAAAAATCTATTCAAAAGGACGAAAGGTAACTCCTTTCTTTCGAATATGGGTTTAAGATCGGGATTTAAGAGATAATATATTTTGTTTTTGGGATGAGGGAATTATTTTTATTTTCTCCTCACAGTGAGGAGATGAGAAAGGGTGACGATGAGAGATAGAGAGAAAGTGGAGAGAAATGACTGGAAAAAAAAGAAAGGAGAGGGTTTCAGCTGAAAATCCTATAAAGGGTATTTAAACCCATTAAAACGACGTCGTTTGGTGTTTTTGGGCTACCCGTGGGTCCTATAAAAGAGATATTCGCGGGGAGGGTTCTAGAGTTTGTAATGGTTATATTTTAGTCACTTTTCGAGACTTTATTGATTTATATTTGCCTTTTTCTTTTAGTCTCTATTTGAAGTTTTTCTAGTTTATGGTTTTGCCTTTTTCTTTTATGCATGTTGTATTTTAGTCACCTAGACTTATTTGCCTTTTACTTATTGTAATTTTTCAGTATGTAATTCTAAATACTCTCATTTTGGTCCTTATTTGAATTTTATCTTTATTAATTTGAGCCATGAATGTCATAATCATTTAATTTTCATCCTTAAATGTGTTTGCTCATTTATGATTTGACTTGTAATTTGAAAATTTCATGCTTTAACTTCCTTATTTATTTATGGTTCAATTTACTCCCATATTGTAGTGTTGTTCATGTTTGTTTTGTTTCTAGAGTTAAATCTGTTCAGTTGTAATTTCATTCATTTTGTCCTTGGTTTTAATACTAAACTTGGTGTATTTAGTCTTTATTTGGTCAATGTTTTGTAAATTAGGTATATGCATGCTACCTTATTCATAATATTTATAGATTATATTACACGTATGTAAATATTATACCACATATAGGTATGTCCATAATATATTATTTTAATGGTATATTATTTGCATGATAATTATATAGGGTTATGTATTATATATTTTATTGTATTATATGTAGGTATATGGCATGCGTAGTTTTATATTTATATTTCACTTTCTAAGACATGTATATACTTCATATAGTTTATATTTGTTATTTTGTAAATATGAATCGCGCATATTGTATGATATAGCGTGTGTATAAGCTTATATTATTTATTAAATGCATGTAAATATTTTATTCTATGTGGTAGCTATTTTTTCGTACGTGTCAATACCTTTGGTCACATGACATCACTCTTTCATGAAAAATGTATGATACTTTCATATGCATAACTTTATTCAACCAAATAATTGGATTAAGGGTAATACCCTTTCATTTTAATGTCATCGTGAAGTGATTGTCTTAACGTATAAGAAAGTTATTTTCGATAATTTAAAATGAAAGTATATCTCATTAAGTGAAACCCTAAAAATTGACTACACGTAAAATTTGGGAACGAGAGAAAAAAGAAACGTTCGTCTATTTAAATTTATCGAGAAAATATCATTAGAACTTATAAAATGTTCGATCTTGATGTCTTTAAATAATCGAACATTCTTCTTTCTAAAATGATTGGTAATTCGTATTTAATCTTTACTTTTATTTTCATTCATGCATTTAAATTATAATACATTTTAGAATGGAATCGTAATATTTCTTTATTTCGATTGGAGTAAGAATTGACTGCTTTAAGGCATGAGAGGTCGTTTCTTCTCGATAGAAAATAATTAAATATTATTGTTTTTCGTCCTAAAATTCAAAGAATATTATTTGAAAGGATCTTAAATTAAATTAAATTCGAACTCATAAATTTCATTTCAAAGTCAAATAATTAATCGACTAGGTACCAATTCAGGACGCTGTGGGGGTGCTAATCATTCCCCTCGCGTAATCGACCCCTGAACTCAATTTTTGGTACATAGACCTAAGATGTTGTTTTAATAAAATTGAAATTATTTTATTAAAATGAAAACCATTTTGGGTACAATCACACCCTAATCAAAGATTGGCGGTGACTTCGCGAAACATTTTTTAACTTTAAAAAGGAAACACCAAATTAATCAAGACAATTTTTTTAATCACTTAAAAATTAAATTTGGTTTTAAGAAACTGTTTTTACAGCTTGGCGACTCTGGGGGCATTTTGTAGAGAGTCAAGCCGTTAGTCAATTAATTAATTTAGTTTTTGATCCCTTGTTTGGTTTGAATAAATTTTATGTTTATAATTTGATTAACCACTAAATAGTTGTACTGATTTGTTTGCTAATATTTTCAGATTAAATGTATCTTAAAGGGAATTGAGAAATGATTTTGTGTGTTGTGTGTTTGTATTGTTTTCGCTTTTCCTCACACATTGCATAACTGCATTTACATAATATGAGCTAAAACCCTGCTCCGTCCAATTTAAGTAGGAATGAGAAACTACTCCTCGTGTGGTTTTCACCTTCGTATGTGATAGTGGATCTCTCATGGGGCTCACGCCTTATGGTCCTTGTGATTGTTTTCACCTCCGTATGGACATAAGGAGGTGTTTTTCCTCGAATTGAACTCAATCTTAAAGCATGTGTGGGATATGATTAAGGGTCTGGCAGCACAAGGGGGCACCAGACAACAACAATTTGAGAACCTTTTACTTTAGAGCCGAACCCAACATATAGTGAACCTAGAACCCGAACCTAGGTAGAGCCTAACCCAAACCTTAAGAATCCGTGAGGAGAGCATACAAGGAAAACTTTTTTGAGTATTTTAATTTGGTAGTGTAATTTTGCTTTCCGGATGAATGTATGAGAACTAGAGATCATGTGGTTAGGTTTATTTTTTCGAATAAGAATGTGAACTAGATGACATGAGGTTAGGATTTTTACGTTAAACAAAGCATAGGGGTAGAAATCATGTTTGGGTAGGATCTACTAAAGCATGATTAGTAGTCACATGTGAGGGTAGGATTTATTGATAAATTATGTTATGCCCAATTGATTTCTTATGATTAATGACTAATTTTCTTTTATCTTTTATTTTATTTTGTTTCATTTTTTTATTGCACTATTTATTCCATGGTGTTGATCCGCGATCGATGTCAATATAGAAGGCTAGTAATATGGAATAAATGGTTCGAAAGAGGTAGAAGACAATGCATATGTTTTGAGATGGTCTGAGCCGTCCCATCTTACAAATGGAGATAGCTTGTTGCCCGAATACGTGTCAGATTTGATTGGTTACACTCACATCAATGTCCATCAAAATGATTTGAGCGAGCTGAAAGAGATCTGGGAAAGATGGGAAGCAGTCGATAAACAGTTGTTCTATCAGCTCTATGGTGACATCTCCTATCTCCTAGATGTTTCAATTGACTGAAATTTGTTTAAAGCTCTTGCATAGTTCTAGAATCCCGCCTACAATTGCTTTACTTTTGGCCGAGTGGATATTACACCTACCATAGAGGAGTATCATGCCTTGATTCATTGTCTGAGATTCTAAGTGGACAGGGTGTACACCAACCGCCAAATACTCATTCTTTAAAAAGAAACTACTTTTGATGATTGGAATGAGTGAAGAATGGGTCGTAAGAAGCATCAAGAAGAAAGGAGATAGTGAGTGCATCAGATTGACTACTCTTAGAGAAGTAATTAATTGTCATCCCAACAAGAGAAAAAAGATAGATATCTTTACTTTAGTTATTTATAGGGTAGTTATATTCTCGAAGGTCTAGGGCATGTTAATGTGTCATTTGTTGATTTGTTCGAGAGATTGGAGAGGTATAGACCCCGTTCCAACTATATTGGTCGATACATTCCGTTATTTAAACTCTTGCAAACGAGAGGGAGAAGGTCACTTCATAGGATGTGCACCACTTTTGTTAGTTTGGATCTTTAACTATTTCAAACGTTGAGAGGGTGCCTGATCGAGTGTTTCTAAAAGGTTTTCACCTTTGAAAGATTTCCTTTCTCGAGAATGGCCTGGGATT